AGCCTCTGCCTTCCAAGTTCCAGTGATTCACCTGCCTCAGACTCCCAGGTAGCTGGGATTACAGGCACACGCCCTGACACCCGGCTAATTTTTGTATTTTTAGTAGAGACAGGATTTCACCTTGTTGGCCAGGCTGGTCTCAAACTCCTGACCTCAGGTAATCCGCCCACCTCGGCCTCCCAAAGTGCTGGGATTACAAGCGTGAGCCACCGTGCCTGCCCACTTGTGGGTTTTATGGTGGTCTGTTAATCTCTGTCTTTTCCAGCTCTTAACCACACCACCAACCACACCACCGAGCTGCGGGGTGTTAAAGGTCAAGCCCCTACTCTTTCCGCTCCTCAAATGACGCCCTGGCAGCAGAGGGTGAAACGTTCTCATTCATCAGAAGGCACAGAGGGAAGTTCTAAAACAAAAGGTGATCTGCAAAATTAAGGTAGCGATTTTCAAGTTTCAATAAAAAACCAACAGACATACTTGCAGAGCCGAATACATAATAGTAGTAATTATAAAGTCATGAATGTGTCTTCTGTATGGGAAGTGAAACCCAGTTGGCAAATCTTATAAACCAAATACTGTAAATCTGTTCAGGAAGGAGGCATCTGCTTCCATTGCCAGAAACTTGGGAGTGATGTGTTATTTGCCCTCTAACATCAGGGTCACATAACCTTTTGGTTCCCAAGCATAATATGTGTTTTTTTGTTTGTTTTGAGACGGAGTCTTGCCCAGGCTGGAATGCAGTGGCACAATCTTGGCTCACTGCAACCTCTGCCTCCTGGGTTCAAGTGCTTGTCCTGTCTCAGCTTCCCAAGTAGCTGCAACTACAGGTGCCCACCACCTTGCCTGGCTAATTTTTGCATTTTTAGTAGAGATAGGATTTCACCATATTGGTCAAGCTGCTCTCAAACTCCCGACCTCAGGTAATTCACCCACCTTGGCCTCCCAAAGTGCTGGGATTACAGGAATGAGCCACCACTTAGCCACATGATATGTTTTATAGCTTGCAAAAACCTATAAAACCATCCCCAAGTCCAAGTGACAGTTTCTGTTCTAAGTCCAGTGGCATCTCTTCCTTTCGGTGTTCCCATCTGGGCCACACAGTGCCTTCATTGTGTTTGTTACCTAGTGAACTTTAGCACAAGATTAGTTTAGAAATCTCACATCTTAGCCTATAACAGATGCAATTGCACTTACAGAGAAGTTTTGGCGTTTTTGTTTGCTTTTTGAAAGAGAGTCTCACTCTGCAGCCCAGGCTGGAATGCAGTGGCATGATTACAGCTCACTGCAAACTCCACCTCCTGGGCTCAAGCCATACTCCTACCTCAGTCTCCAGAATAGCTGGGACTACAGATGCACACCACCACACATGGATAATGTCTTTATTTCCCTATATTTCCCAGGCTGATCTCGAACTCCTGGACTCAACCAATCCACCTGCCTCCGTCTCCCAAAGTGCTGGGATTACAGGCATGAGCCACCCTGCCTGGCCCCCAGAAAGAAGTTTTTTTGTGGCCGGGTACAGTGGCTCACGCCTGTAATCCCAGCACTTTGGGAGGTCAAGGCGGGCAGATCGCAAGGTCAAGAGATTGAGACCATCCTGGTCAACATGGTGAAACCCAGTCTCTACTAAAAATACAAAAAATTAGCCAGGTGTGGTGGTGCGTGCCTGGAGTCCCAGCTACTCAGGAGGCTGAGGGAGAGGAATCCCTTGAAACCTGGAGGCAGAGGTTGCAGTGAGCCGAGATTGCACCATTGCAGTCCAGCCTGGCAACAAAGCAAGACTCCGTATCAAAAAAAAA